CCTTCACCTTTTGACCTCAGGCGCCCCTCTGATCTTGGAGGTCAGGCTGGATGGTCGAAAGGTCCCTGCGTACTCACGGTCCAGGATTCAGAATCCAAGGCCTCTGATAAAACACCCTCAATGAGGACGGTGTTGCCTGAATGGGGCGACCCCTAAGTCTCCCACATGGGGAGCCTCTACCATGGAAGAGGGACATTCTGAGATAACCCAACTCTGCTGACAGCCTTCATTGGATTCTGGAATAAAGGGTGTCCCAGCAGACCCACGGTGATCGCCCCCTTCTGGGCATCTCCTCCCAGCAGGGCTGTCAGAGTGAACAGGAGTCTGGGCCTCTCAGGATTTCCTTCTCCTGGGATGTTTCTGAGGCTGAGAAAAAGCAGATCCTTCTCTACTCCCTGCCCTAGTGAGTTCCTCGCACTGGAGGCAGAGAACGGAGCTTCGAGGGGAACAGCTGTTGCCTGCTTTGTTCTGCAGCTGCCTCAGCACACAGCGCAGAGCCTGGCTCACAGCAGGTGCCCAGTGGGTGTCACTAAGCAGGAGCCTGTCCACATTGAGAGGAGCACTTTTTGGAGGTGGGTGAGGTCTGGCCTTGTGATGGACAAGTCACTCAGCTCATCAGTCATTCATTCCTGGCACCAAGGAGCTGGAAAGCATAGAAAGGCCAGGGCTGGGGATCCAGACAAGTGCGGGTACCAGACTTGCCACACCACTGACCAGCCGTGGTGGCTGACCAAATAGCATGACATCTCCAGGCCTCAACTTTCCTGATCTGCAGGTGGGGTTGGGGGAGAATCAGACCAGGAATCAGATCATGACTATAAGCACCCACCTCCGCACCTGACTCTTAGTTGTTGTTCAAAGATGGAAGTCGACCCCTCCCAGTACTCACCATTCACGCTGAGCTGAGTGCCTGCTCCAGACTTGAGCTCCGTGTTATTATCACCGGCTTCGTTCCCGAACGTCACACAGTAGTAGGTCCCTGTGTCTGCTGGGGTGACGTTACTGATGAGGATGGAAAAGTCCGTGTTCTTTGTCCACGTGGTGTCTGCAACACTTGTTGCTCGGAGAAATTGGGCTCCTGTGAAATCATAGATTAACTCCCGACATGGCCCTGTCCCTCTGAACCACCTGATGATCTGCACAGGGCACAGGGAGGTCACGGTGCAGCTCAGAGTGGCCGTCTCTCCAGGTGTGACGGACACTGACATCTGAGGCTGAATCACCAGCAGCTCTTCCTCATCTGCTCCTCCTGGAGGGATGCACAGACTGGTTATTTACTCAGCATAGGGGACCCTGTGGCTGGGTCAGTATATCAATAATAGCTTTTATCAACTGAGTGCACATCTTGAGCGGGCCTTGAGCCCAGCATTTTGCATGTGTCATACCTGTAACCCTCACAACCATCTTATAATGTGAGAGCCTATAACAAATGAGGATCTGAGGCAAAGAGAGGTAACAAGAGTATATTTAAGTTTCTTCCCATCACGCAGTTGTTCTGATGCCAGCAATGGAAGGGGTGTGTTTTGCTTTTTCCTATAACCTGTGGCTGCCCAGCTGACCGAATTGGCTCCTGGAGGTACCATCCATCCAGCTTGAGGAGATGAGAGCATCAGCCAGTTTGTCTCTGGCAGCCATGGCTGGTCCTCTAATGATGAGGAAGTTGGTGCAGAGAAATAGCACATCCCTTGGAATAGCACTCATTTGCAGAGAACTGCAAAAGGAAACCAGTGCTTGCAGAAGACTCACTGAATCCTTACCCAGATTCCTCTTTAACGTCTCTCGTTAAAGGGACAGGGTGGTACTTGCTACTGAACCTGAGCTACAAGTTGGAATTGAAGCAGGTCATGGCTCGGCTTCAGAATGTTTCCTGAATAGGAATGAAAATTTTCCAACAACAACCAGGAAGCAATCATAAGCTTTAAGGATGAATGGACTCGGCTGCCTATGTTCTCTGGGCCTCAGGCACTGAAAGAAAGCTTCAGAGAAGCCACAGGTGCTGGACTAGAGAGTGGATCTCAATGGCTTGAATGTGACATGTCTCCATTAAACCTGCAGATGGCCAGGTTTGTAAAGAAACATGCTTGTTTCTGGATTGAAAAGGAGGAAAAGAATGGGCATGTGAGGAGAGCCAAACGGATGAGCACCATCTGGGCAGGAGCTCCTAGGAGACCCGCTGCATCCAGACATCAGGATGCTTCACCTCCAGATGACCCTGCACCCCCAGAGGAAGGTCCTGTCCTTCCCCACAGACTTAGTATCACCTGCTGTTCCTATGAGCCCTGCCAAGCCTTCATTTTGGGACTGTTTTTCTTCACAGAAGATGTTCTGACTGGAAAAGCTACAAGGTCATGATAAGTTAGGAAGGGAAATGATGGTGATTATCACCACTAATGATCAACATGCGGCACTGTCAAACCTTCTCATATGTTGTGTTTTATCCTTCTATTCCTGCTGAGAGGGCGTGTCCTCACCCCCACGTTGCAAAGGAGGACACTCATGTCCTCAGAGGTGAACCCTGAGTGAGGGGCAGGGTGGACAAGCAATTCCAGGCCTGCGTTCAACATCCATCATTTTTTCTCCATATGATTTCCCACAGTCGGTGCCCAGGAACATAGCACCTGGATTTGAATCTAGAATATGAACTCCTGCTCACTGGGCACAGGGCCCTCTAGGAAATGCCCCCCCCCCCCACCCCTCTCAGTCTGTAGATTCAGGATGCTGCCCACAGCGGTGCTGAGCTCAGCGACGCCTCTGTGCTCAGCTACACCTCTGTGCTCCATCCAGGCCACTGAGCCTGGTGCCTCCTGGGGCAAGAAGGGAAGGCCTCCTGGCTGCCTCTATAGGGAGAGCCATGTCCTGTAGGCATAGTTTCAGGCCATGTCCTGGGACATTTGAAGATCTGTCTCATCTCAGTTGGAAAGCTAGACCTGCTTCCCCTCACAGGATTTTTAAAAGTGTTTTGTTCTTCTTCTTTTTTTTTTTTTCCTGAAGACCATAACAATACATGTCTCTAAGAAACGGACTGGAGTCTGACCAGGGTGGCTCAGTGGTTGAGCGTCAACACTAGACCCAGGAGATCACTTTGGATTCCTGCTCAGAGCATATGCCTGGGATGTGGGCTCCATCTCCATTATGGGGCGTGCAGGAGGCAGCAGATCAATGATTCTCATCACTGATGTTTCTGTCTCTCTAGCACTCTCCCTTCTCTGAAATCAATAAAACATACTATTTAAAAACCAAGGAAACAGAACTTAAAAACAAAAAAAATCAAAAGGATTGAAGGTCCTCTACACTTTGACAAACACAAAGGGGTGTTGTAGGGAGCTCAGGCCCTGACCTCTTCCACCTCCTGCATTCTCAGGCAGGTGTCACTTAGGCAAGTAGCTCAGGGAAGGAGCAGAACTTTCACCCAGGAGGCAGCAGATCTGAGTGGCAATGGAGCCAATGACAACTGTGATGTAGGCAAGGGACACACCATTGGGAAGTGTGGTAATACCTGAAAATTCGGAATAAAGCCACCTTCCCTGCCTGTGTCCAGAAACTGTGGGGAGACCCTGTTGCCACCATGTATAGGATGGAAACTTGGTGATACCCCCCCAAATTAAAAGGCACACACCTTGTGACCTAGCAATGCCACTTCCTGTGGGCACCTTCTTCTAAAGTAGGGTGACACATGGACAAGGGTACCTCGGATCACTTTGTGAATAGCCCAAGGCTGGGAACACCACACACCCATCAACAGAAAACAATGAATGAAGGATGCTGTCTCCACAGGCTGGAGGGGAGGCAGCTGGTGAAGGAGGGGGAGCTCTAGGTGCTGATGTGGATGCTCCACTTGGAGCGATGTGGCTGGAAGTGTGGGCGGGTTTCCCAATCACCTGGGCCACAAAGTGTGAGTGTGAGGGGCATGTAAAGCTTTGGGTACCAGTGAACATAAAAGGTGTTGGCTCCCTGTTCAAAGGTGTGCTGGAATGAGCTTTATTCAGGGAGCTGCCAGGTTTTTGACCAGGTTTTTGATGGAAAGAGTGTCTATCTCTGAAACAGGGGAAAGCTGCTAAAATCAGATAGGGTTGTGAACAATCTCCTCATTCACTGGCCATGTGACTTTGGACAGAGTCCCCTTCACCTTTTGACCTCAGGCGCCCCTCTGATCTTGTGGAGTCAGGTTGATTGGTCTAAAGTTCCCTGGGTACTCACGGTCCAGGATTCAGAATCCGGTGCCTCTAGAAAAACACCGTTAATGAGGATGGTTTTGCCTGAATGGGGCAATCCCTAAGTCTCCCACATGGGGAGCCTCTTCCACGGGTGAGGGACATTCTGAGACGACCCAACTCTGCTAGAGCCTTCATGGGATTCTGGAATAAAGGGGGTTTCCCGGCAGACCCATGGTGATCGCCCCCTTCTGGGCATCTCCTCCAGGCGGGGCTGTCAAAGTGAACAGAAGTCTGGGCCTCTCAGGATTTCCTTCTCCTGAGATGTTTCTGAGGCTGAGAGGAAGTAGCACCTTCTCTACTCCCTGCCCTAGTGAGTTCCTCCCACTGGAGGCAGAGAACGGATCTTCGAGGGGAACAGCAGTTACTTGCTTTGTTCTGCAGCTGCCTCAGTGCCCAGTGCAGAGCCTGGCTCACAGCAGGTGCCCAGTGGGTGTCACTAAGCTGGAGACTGGCCACATGAGAGGAGCACTTTTTGGAGGTGGGTGAGGTCTGGCCTTGTGATGGACAAGCACTCAGCTCATCAGTCATTCATTCCTGGCACCAAGGGGCTGTAAAGCATAGAAAGGCCAGGGCTGGGCATCCACACAAGTGGGGGCACCAAACTTTCCCCATCACTGAACAGCCGTGGTGGCTGACCAAATAGCATGAAATCTCCAGGCCTCAGCTTCCCTGGTCTGCAGACAGTGAAATCAAACCAGGAATCAGATCCTGACTATAAGCCCCCACTTCTGCACAGTAGTCTTAATTTTTGTTCAAAGATGGAAGTTGATCTCGTCTTGTACTCACCACTCACGCTGAGCTGAGTGCCTGCTCCAGACTTTACCTCCTTGTCACCACCGGCTTCTTTCCGGAACTTCACACAGTAGTAGGTCCCTGTGTCTGCTGGGATGGTGTTACTGATGCGGATGGAAAAGTCCATGTTGTTTCTCCTCGTGGTGTCTGCAACACTTGTTATTCGGGGGAATTGGGCTTCCCTGAAATCATAGATAAACTCCCGTCCTGGCCCTGTCCCTCTGAACCACATGATGGGCCCCACAGGGCGCAGGGAGGTCACGGTGCAGCTCAGAGTGGCCGTCTCTCCAGGTGCGATGCACACTGACTTCTGAGGCTGAATCATCAGCAGCTCCTCCTCACCTGCCCCTCCTGGAGGGATGCACAGACTGGTTATTTACTCAGCATAGGGGACCCTGTGGGCTGGTTCAGTATTTATCAATAATAGCTTTTATCAAGTGAGTGCACATCTTGAGTGGGCCTTGAGCCCAGCATTTTGCATGTGTCATACATGTAACCCTCACAACCATCCCATAATGTGAGAGCCTATAACAAATGAGGATGTCAGGCACAGAGAGGTAAAAAGAGTATTTTTAAGTTTCTTCCCATTAAGCAGTTGTTCTGATGCCAGCAATGGAAAGGGTTGTGTTTTGCTTTTTCCTATAACCTGTGGCTGCCCAGCTGAGCGGATTGGCTCCTGGAGGTACCATCCATCCAGCTTGAGGAGATGAGAGCATCAGCCAGTTTGTCTCTGGCAACCATGGCTGGTCGTCTGATGATGAGGAAGTTGGTGCAGAGAAATAGCACATCCCTTGGAATAGCACTCATTTGCAGAGAACTGCAAAAGGAAACCAGTGCTTGCAGAAGAATCACTGAATCCTTACCCAGATTCCTCTTTAACGTCTCTCGTTAAAGGGACTGGGTGGTACTTGCTACTGAACCTGAGCTACAAGTTGTAATTGAAGCAGGTCGTTGTTCAACTTCAGAATGCCTTCTGAGTATGAATGTAAGAAAGGGAAGTAATCAGTTGCTTTAAGGATGAATGGACTTGGCTGCCTATGTTCTCTGGGCCTCAGGCACTGAAAGAAAGCCTTATAGACGCCACAGGTACTGGACTAGACTGTGAATCTCAATGGCTTGAATGTTGTATGTCCCCATTAAACCTGCAGATGGCCAGGATTGTAAAGAAACACGCTTGTTTCTGGATGGAGGAGGAAGAAAGAATGGGTGTGTGAGGAGAGCCGAACAGATGAGCACCATCTGGGCAGGAACTCCTAGGAAAGCCTCTGCATCCAGACATCAGGATGCTTCATCTCCAGATGACCCTGCACCCCCAGAGGCAGGTCCTGTCCTTCCCCACGGGACTTAGCATCACATGCTGTTCCTGAGCCCTGAATACCCTTCATTTTCGGGCTGTTTTTCTTCACAGAAGGATTCTGACGGGAAAAGCTACATAGTCATGATAAATAAAAAAGGGAAATGAAAATTGTTTGTAATATTATGTGTTCACTAAAAAAAAAATCAATGCCTATCACTATCCAATTTCATTTTATAAAACAACTTGAAAAAGAAAAAAACAACTTTCCTGGTAAAAAAGCATACTTTCCATTTCAAGAAAGCTTAGTGGAATACATGTTTACCTTTCTTCCTCCCCAGAATCACTCTGAAGTGACAGAGAAATGGAACAGCATGGTGAATCCAGCTGATACAGATGTAGCTCATTTTCTTTCACTTTGCTATATTGAGCTTCACAGTATTTCATTTTGCACAGGTGTTGGTGGTTTTGCAAATGGAAGGAAAGAAGACCCTCCAAAGAGAAGAGGGGGTGAGTGAATGAGGGAAATGATTCACCAGGGAACCTGTTTGCATTGTGAACAACCATGGACACAGGCAATAGAGTGGTGAGGGCCTGGGAGGGGTGGTCAGGGGTGAAGGGGGTCAATGGGAGAAAACACACACACACACACACACACACACACACACACACAAAGGGGACATCTGTGATAATTTCAACAATAAAGATAAAAATTTAAAAAGGTTATGACTTTTTTAATTACAGAAGTGTGGAACTGAGCCCACAATATCTCTGAGGCAGGCCTGTACATGCTTTTTGGGAGCCATCAGAGTTGAGACAAGCAACTCTGTCTTAAGTAAATATAGCTCTAGAGGTCCTCCAAGATGGCTGCGCCCAGTTGAATACCTAGCCGCAGCCGCACATAACAATTTCAATAAAATACAACTAAAATATAAAATGGACATTACCCAGAACTACAGGAAAGTTGACTGACTGGAAATTCTACAAGGAGAAGCAAGGAGAAAAGCAGAAGGAAGCGCGGAGGAGCTGGAAAAGCCCAAGGTAAGGAGACACAGGGCGCGAGGAGAGGAGGGACCTGGAGAGGAGGGAGGCGGAGTGCCTGGCGGGCGTTCCCTGGCGGGAAGGAGATTAAACTCTGACTGTGCTGGGCCCCCGACTGCTCTGAACCCCAGGCCTAGGCCAGACCCCGGGACTCAGGCTCAGCCAGAGGGAGCTGGGCTGAAAGGCGGAACCCGGGGAAGAGGCGAAAGGAGGTCCCGGCGGTGGCGCCCAGTGCGCGCAGAGAAGGGAAGGCCAGCTGTGCCGCGGGATTGCCTGGCGGGAAGGAGACAGGGGCTCCAGTCTGCTCTGAACGCCACCTCCAACTCCACTTCCAACTGAACTGAACCCCAATACCGCGCTCATTGGGGGAGAGCATTGACTGTTTGGCAGCAGGCGAAAATCGAGGGCACCTTTCTCTCAGAGGCGCTGGCAGCGAGCACTGAAGGACCCGCATAGGGCGGGGCTGACGGAAGCCAAGGCTGCAGGCTCCACCCTGAAACCCCGCCCCATCTGTAACTGTGAAATGCGACAACGAAATAGATCACAAACGAAAGAAATGGAGGACAAAAAGTGGCTGGATATAGAGTTCAAATCTACGCTTATAAGGTTTTTCCAGAATTTCCTAGAAAAGATGGATAAGACCTATGAGGATATGAAAAGAAATCAACTAGAATTAATAAGGAGTCATCAAGAAATGATAAGGGAACAACAAGAAATAAAGAATACATTGTCTGAAATAAAAAATATTTTACAGAGTCCTAAAAACAGAAGGGAAGATCGCAAGAATCAAGTCAAAGATTTGGAACATAAAGAGCCAGAACACACTCCTCCACAGAAGCTAGAAGGCAAGAGAATCCAGAAAATTGAAGATAATGTAAGAAACCTCTAGGACAACTTCAAGAGAACCAACATCAGAATTATGAGGGTACCAGAAGATGAGCGAGAGCAAGATATCGAAAACATACTGAAAGAAATAGTGACAGAAAACTTCCCCCACCTGGGGAAAGAATTAGACTTACAAGTCCAGGAAGCTCACAGAACTCCAAACAAAAGGAATCCAAAGAGGACCACACCAAGACAAATCATAATTAAAATTCCAAGAGCAAAAGACAAAGAGAGAATATTAAAAGAAGCAAGAGCAAAGAAGGTAGTTACCTATAAAGGATCACCTATACGATTGTCAGCTGACTTCTCAACAGAAACCATGCAGGCCAGACGGGAATGGCAAGAAATATTCAAGGTGATGAATAGTAAGAACCTACAGCCAAAGATAATCTATCCAGCAAAGCTATCACTCAGAATCGAAGGTCGATAAAGAGCTTCACTAATAAAAAAAAGCTAAAGGAGTTCATCAACACCAAACCAGACTTATATGAGTTGCTGAAGGGAGTTCTTTCAGAAGAGAAAGTAAACAAAGATAAAAATTATGAACAACAAATATGTAACTATCAACAAGTGAATCTAAAAACCAAGGAAATTAAAAAAAAAATCTGATGAACAATAGTAACTGAATATAATAGAATCAGAGGTATGGAAGGGGAGTGAACTGACGATTCTTGGGGAAAAGGGGAGAGGGGGCGTGGGAAGAGACTGAACATAAACTGTGCACCTATGGATGAGGACAATGGGGAGTGGGAAAGGGCAGAGGGTGGGGTGGGAACCTGGTGGAGGAGAGCAATGGTGGGGGGGGAGGGAAAGGAACATTTGTAATAATATGAACAATAAAAACTTATTTAAAAATAAATAAATAAATAAATAAATAAATAAATAAATAAAAACAAGGAATTGAGAAAAAAAGAAAAAGAAAATATAGCTCTATCTTAGAATTAAGTTCCTTCTAGCAGAAGTTAAGCGGTGCCCTGTGGGTTTGGCCAGAAGCTAAAGATTAACCTGCCGCTTAGCACATCTTGCTCCTGAGGATCTCTGCAACTCCCCTTCCTGATCCTCCCCCATAGCTAGCCCGGCCTTGGAATGTTACTCCGCCCTGGCAGTTAGCCAATCCTGTGTTGCCAGGTACCTTACCACCTTGTCACTCAGTGCCTAAACCAATTATACACTGTCAAAGACCCCTCTGCATAAGCAACCCTGCCCCCCTTTGTTCCTGCTGTATATATACTGCTGTTCCAAAAATAAAGATTGAGGCTTGATCAGAACTTTGTCTTGCCTCCATTTCTCCGTTTCCCCTGTCCCTTCTTTTCATCCTCCACAGGTCCTCCCTCTCCCCACGTTGTTGTGCCCCGCGGGTCGGGGCACATGCTTGGTGTAGAGACAAAGGGAAAATGAAAGGATATCATAAGGAAACATTCAACTACATCAGAGATACCAATTTATAAAATATTTTCCTTGGAAAATGAATCCACTCTTTAATAAAATGGGAACATGCTATTCTGTAATTCTTTTCTCTGAGCTGCACATCCGGTGTTAACAATCTCATGACATAACTTTCACTGGCTCTAGAGTACTCTGCTGCGTGACTGATATCAGTTAGGATGCTTGGGCCAGAGGTAAGTGTGCAAACAGCTGAGGTGAGTAACCAAGGCATTAACAGTCTCCCCCAGCACCCAGCTCAAAGGTGTCCTTAAGGACAGGGTCTGGCCTCAGCCTCATTGATTTGGCCTCAGGCCTGTATCATGGTCAGGGGAGCTGCTGCTGTAAATGTCAGCTTCACATCTTCCCAAAATGCAGCTAAGATTCAGGACAGGCTGCTTCTCCTCTCACATCTCAGATTTGTTGGGGAGGAGAGCATTTCCTGCAGCCAGGACCAATCGCTGACCAGCACCTGGGACACGCCTGCTCCAGGGCCAATCGCTGCCCAGCCCAGGGGAGAAGCCTTTCCTTCTCTCCCTGTGGGTCTCCCCAGCGCCCAGGGGCCAGTTGTGCAGAGGCTCACCAGGACCTTTCTTCAGCGGGAGGCCTGGCTGATTGCCAGCAACCCCTGCAGCGCCCTGGTGCTGGGACGCTGGGAGGGCCTGGAGCCAGAGCTGTCACAGCGGGTCGTGGTGAGATATACAGGCTCTCTGCCTAAGAGAACTAGTCAGGGGCACTGAGTATGGTGATCTCATACCCGCGAGAATTTTGGGGAGAAGGACCTAGCAGCAGTTGGCTTCAGGGGACCCCATGTTTAGCAACTTACAGGGAAAAGGAGGAATTTTTCCTAGAAATCCTGCTTGCTCTGTGTTCTTGTCAGGATTTGCAGTGGCCTTTGACCTGTCGTCATGTCTTGTCCTATCCCGGCCAATCAGAACGCTGTAGATTCTCCCTACCCCTGTTTTTTTGTTTTTGTTTTTTCTTAAAAAAAAATGGGAGTTTGGTAAATATCTTAGAGAGTCAGATGTGACTGGCTTAAAGGGCAGACAAGAGAATTCTATTCTATAAGTATGCATTGCAAATAAAAATTTGTGAGGTGCCTTATTTGTAATTCTGTTGGATAATGTAGAGACTCATATGTTTCTATCTGCCATGGATGAATTCCATGTAGGTGAATATTGATTAGTTTACAGGATGACTCTGCCTTCTGACTTTGGTGAAAATATCAAACTCTCCTATTAGTCTTTCAAAGACTATCCTCCCTGCTAGGTTCAAAGGCCTTGTAAGAATTACCTCCTTGGAATCACCTAAGACTCAAAGCATCATCTCTTTTGCTGCCTCTGGTAACAGTGCAGGCGATGGTCCCACAGAGAAATCACTCAGATCCCTGACTTCATGCGCTCAGATGAAGCCCTGACCTTCTGTGCAGCCCTGGGTGACACACCCATGTTTTTTGGAGGCCCTGACATTTCAGGGGGAAAAGAAGCCCAGGGGCAGGGTGGGAATATTCTACCCCAAGGAGTGCTCACCTGGGAGGCCCAGCAGGAGAGTCAGCAGCAGGCAGGGAGGAGGGAAGGGCCAGGAGGCAGGGAAGGGCATCCTGGAGGCCTGAGTGGCGTGCTGTGTCCAAGTGTGTGCAGAGAACCCAGAATCCCTCTGTGAGAGGAGAGAGGCCACGGCTGTGTGATATAAGAGGAAGCGCCAGGGAAGCGTGACAAGGCTGTGACATAGTAGCCAGCCTCTAAATTCTAAATAGTTCCTGCTTGTACACTGTGAAATAATCACAGTCAGGAAAGCAACCACAGGGTGAGCAGTTACTCATCTAAGTTTACAGAGGGACGTGGACATGCCCCAGGTACTAGCACCCCCTGGCCCACTGCCTGGAACCTCTTTTTTCTACTGGCCCCACAACCCATCTGAGGTTTTCATGGTGAGGCCCCACTTGGAGGCCCAGGACAAGAAGGGTGTGCGGTGTGGGCTGTGTGCCAAACTTCCCAGCCCAGGTCACTAGGATGTTTCTGGCTTATGGCCTCATCTCCTTCAGCCTAAGCAAGAGTTACTCTTTGGAGGAAGGAAGACGGCTCACCAGAGTCTGGTCAGTTTTGGGATGGAAACAGGTCCTCTCCTGAATGATTCTCTATTCCAACCATTTACTGATGGAACTGGCAAAACTCCACCCAAACACACAGTGTGGTGTGGACCTCAGAAGTGGTTTGTGCCACCTTGCAACAAAGGATGTAATTTCCTCACATTTCTGGAAAGCACGTGTATTATATGTCCACATTTATACACACAGGCATTTGTCTCAGAAAAGTGGAACTTATGTCCACACCAAATGCTGTGAACAAAATAAATCCTACTTCAAATATTTTTCCGTTTTAGCAACTTTCAAATGTACAACCCAGTATTGCTAACCGTAGTCACCATGTTGAATATTATATCCCCAATATGTATTTATCTTATACTAGAAGCTTGTTCATTGGGCCGCCTTGACCTATCCTGCCACCTATGGGAAGCTTCTCACAACTTCCAATCTTTTCTCTGTGTCTATGAGTTTCCACCTAACCTCCAGGTTCCACCAATAACTGAAATAACACAGTATTTCTTTCTTTGCCTGACTTATCACATTCCATAATGCCCTCAAATTCCATTTTGTTGTTGCAAATGGCAGCATTTCCTTCCCTCTTTGGATGAATAATATTCCACTACATGTACACATTTTTTTTAATCCATTCAGCCACTGATAGACACTGACATGAAGTGCTTGATTTGTATATTGTTAATAATGGTGAATGAACATGGGGTTGCAGATACCTCTTCGAGGTAGTGATTTCATTTTCTTTGGATATAGACTAGGGGGTGGAATGGCTGGGTCATATGAACGTTCTATTAATTTTTTGAGGCCCCTCTATCTGTTTTCCATGGTGGCTGCACCAAACTCTGATTGGATGAATTTCCTGTCCTTTTTTTTTTAACTAGTAGTTCTTGGACCTGATTTCTCCTTCATCTAGTCTGCTGTTGAACCCTTCTATTGAATTATCCAGTTCAATGATTGTATTCTTCACCTCTCTGATTTCTCCTTGGTACTCTCTCAGTTTTTAAAAACATCATTGTTGACAGTATTACACATATCTCCCATTTCCACTTCTTTAACCCCCTCCTGCCAGCTTTTACCATCCCCCACCAACCCAGGTCTTCACTACCCTATTGCCTGTGGGCCTGTGCTAGCCCTGGGCTGTCTCTCCAAACTTTGTGATTGTCCAAACTGCCTTCTTTGTTCTCCTTTGCTCCCAATAGTGGAGGCGCCATGATTTCAATGTCCCAAGGGGAGGAATTCAGTCTGCACCTAGTCACAGGCTGATGGGAAGCTGGATCCCAAGGCAACAGCGTTTAAGTATGAAGGTTGACCTCTATCAGGAAAGGCTGGGAGATGGGTGCTTCTGACTGCTGTCTCTGAGATAAGCCTCTAGGGAAGAGCCAGTGAAGAATTGGCTTTTTGTTTTCTACTGTCCTGGAGGCCCCACTAACACAAGCCTCACTGGCCCCCAGAGCCAGGCGATCCAGGGGTGTGTCCCCTGAGCAGCAGCTGCAAGTCAGGGCTCTAACCGAGTGCACATGCCATTTCAGGGAGGCACCAGCCACCAGGGTCCTCAGAGGAAGAATGTGGATGTGATACCCTCTCAGCTCCCTGGTCTCAGAGAGGATGGTTGCCCCCTGATGTGTGTTAATGAGAAGTTGACCTTCAACTTCAGCCTTTATGAGAAGCCAGTAGGCCTCTTTCAGGGAAAGATTGGGTGATGGGCATTTGTTTCTGCTGCGTTATGGTGAGTCCTGGGGGGGTAAAAGAGTGGGTGAGACGTGGTGAGCTACAGGGAGTCTTCACAGGCCACTGAGAACTGCTTCTTGGCTGTAGCCCTTGGATCTTGGGGGCTCAGGACTTGTAGCTTTCAGACATCCTAAATCCTTGTAGCTTTCAGAAATCCTCTATTTGGAAGCTCATTCCTCACTGGGAAATTTAAAATTAAGGTTGTTCAATGTTGAGTCTGAATCCCACTCCTCAAGGAGAAGCTGGGTGGTGTGGGTCTTCCCTGATTATATGTCATTGAGCCGGGTGTGGGCGCTGGAAATTTGTCACTACTGCCTCGTGGTGAGACCTCTGGGGTGAGCTATAAGGAGTCCTCACAGGCCACTGAGAACTGCTTCTTTGCTGTCTTCCTTGGACCTTGTGGACTCAAGTCTTGTGACTGTCAAACATACTTTATTTGGAGACTCAACCCTCATGGGGAATTTAAAAATTTGGGGTGCTCAATGTTGTGTCCAAATCCCATTTCTTATGGAGAAGCTGGGAGGTTTAGGTCTCCCCCGATTATAGGTGGGTTTATGGGGAGATTGTGTCAGGTAACAGCCTGAGATTGTGTCTCATCTTTTCTTCTTTGATTAAGATATGACTTTGGTGTGTGTGTCCAAGGTCTGCGAGCTGCTCATCTGGTTTCTGGGTTCTTTCTCAGGGAATTGTTGCATTAGTAGCTGCAGCTTCAGTAAGTCTGTGGGGAAAAGTGAGGTCAGGTGCCTCCTAAGTCAACATCTTGAACCGGATTGGTTTTGCTTTAAAGAAAAAGAACCTTATTTTTCTCAAGTCATGATGGAGCCAACACAGTGATTCAGTTCGATGCCCAACGCTCACAATGAAGCCAAGTGTGACGCCAGAGTGTTTCATGGAGAAAAGATTTATTCTTCCAGCTGCCAAACCAGGAGACAGAGACCCGATCAGATCTGTTTCCTTCCACGTCCTGGACTACAGACTTAGAGCAAGTTTAATGGGAAGGAGAGATTATACATATGTGTTCATTCAAATCAGGAGTCTTGATTGGACAGTGTTGAAACTAAATAACCTAATATGAGGAATGGAAAAGGTGAGAGAAGATATACAGGCATTCCCAGAGGCTGGGGTCAGGTTGGGTGAGATCTAGGTGGCCAGCCGAGTGCAAATTCCCGGTCCCCCTGCATCTCTGCACAGGTTCTGGCAAAGGGCAAATTGTCCTTTCAGCCATTCATCTGAGTCATGAAATCCTTTGTATGTTTTCTGCACCTTTGTCTGGCTCTGGGACCAGTCTGAACCGGTGGTCCATAGGCACTGTGGGGAGTCTTGCTGTTCTCTTCTGAAAACAACAACAACAACAACTGTTAGGTCAGGTTTGGTATCAGGGCCAGGTTTCAATTATATTAGTGTTTGTTCCAGCTTCCCCTCCTGCTAGCAAGCATGTGCCCAACTTTGAAGCAAATGTGGATCTTGCTGTCTTCAAATAGATTCATGGCTGCAGATGCCAGACTACAGTTGGGAAAATTTCCCCAGAAAAGTCTGAGAACGATTCAAACAGCCAGGCCCCTGGAAAGGCTTTCGAATTGAATACTTCTCAGAGCAGGAAAACTCAGAGGCTGCAAGTTCCTCAATGAGCAAAGGAAGGAAAGGGTCTGTATCATACACAGTCTGGTTCAGGCACAGTGTGTGCTCATAGACTGCTCTCTCCTTAAAGACCTACAATTCTTTGGGGTAGCATGAGTCCCATTTTACAAAGGAGGAAAGTGGCTCTGAGAGTGTTAGCTAGTTGATCAAGGTCACTTAGCTAGTGTGTTTTCCAGTATCTGAACCCACGTTTCTATGCCTATAAGACCTCAGAGAGGAACTTCTCCACTGCGATTTGTCTAAAGGACTTTGAGCACATCTCCTCAGTGCCTGGTGAGTGATTGTGTGGTTTTAATGGGTTGTCTGGTCCAGAGATTCTACACTTAGTCATTACAGGTAAGAAAGTTTTTGAAAAATACAATTATATACTATATTTATCAAGAAAAATAATATTCAGCCCTGGCCAGTATTTCTCAGTGGATAGAGTGTCTGCCTGAGCACTCAAGGGTCTTAGGCTCTATTTCTGGTCAAAGACATGTACCTGGGCTTCAGGTTTAATCCCTGGCCCTGACTGAGTGGGGCTCAAGGCAACCACTCAATGTGTCTGCCCCCCACCCCTCTCTCTGTCTCCATCCCTCCCTTTTTTTTTTTTTTTCCCTTTTCTTTTCTGTCACTCTCTCTATTAAAAAAAATTAATTGGAAAAAAATCCTTTAGTGAGGATTTTCAAAGAAAGGAAAGAAAAAGAATTGAAAATAATTTTCAAATCACCTATCAGTGAATGTAAAGACCATTCCACAGAAGAAAAGATATTTAAATACCAAGAAAACAGAAAGAAAATACTTAATTTCTTTACTTATTCAAGATACATTCAGTACCTATTATATTATGAAAAAGTGATTACTATCTCTATAAATAATCCTAAACAGTGATATTATTATTTTGAAATTCTGTGTGTGAGTGTGGGTGCCTGTGTGTTTTTCAGAGGAACTTTATTTAATAATACATTAAAACAAAAAAACACCTTACTAAGAAAATCTACGGAGACAGGCCGGAAGAGAGAGAGTGTTGTATTTGAATGAAGATCTTCTTGCCTCTTCTCACTTCAGCTCAACAGGAACAACCTCAGCCTAGTACATGCAGGACACAGGGTTGCCCCTGCCCCAGATCCCAGTTGAAATAACATTTCAGGAATTC